CTATTAAAGCTCTCGTCTTTTTGAAGCTTTTTTTTTTTTGTTAGCTCTTATGTTTCCTGTTCCTATGTGTTTTGGTGTCGGCGTTACAGCTCCACCTGCAGGCCTGACAGAGTTACTACAACGTTCTGGATTCTGTTTCTAGAAACCTGTTGATGGAAAAACTGATAAAAACTACAAATAAAATGTTTTTATTTTTTGAATTTGTGGAAAAAGCAGAAGTTGCCAGGAGGACCCAGGTTTACAGCTGATATCTGTTGACTTCAAACATCTTTAATCTTCTGCAGAAAGTGACCCTGAACTACACAGGAAGTGCTTTAGCTAGCTGCTGCTGCTATTTTTAATTAACTAATGCCCAACTGATGGAATGATAAAATCAAGCTGCATCAAATCTGTGTAAAATATCAGACTAGCCGTTAGCTCATTCGTCCTGTCAGACTCGTCCTCGGTGTCTCAGCTGACTGTAAATATTTCCATCTTTAGCCCTGATGCCTACAGAAACACCTGAAGGGAGATTTTCCCCTGAATGTCTCATTTAATGTGACACTTCTCAGCCGAACACTCAGCTCAGCTGGATTTAGCGTGCTAACACTTTCAGCTGTGGCTCAGTGAGCTGAAGTGTTCCCTACACACCCGTTCACACACAGCTGCTTCTCTTTATAGTGTCTCACTGGTGAGCGTCACAAGTGTTAGTGATTTACCTCGGTGCCAAACACGAGACTGGAAGAGTCCAGGTCGGATGGTTTCATGTAAAATATGAACAAGGTCCTGAGTTTAAGTTCTGCTTTATTTATTTTTGTTTATTTATTGAATATTCTGTCATAAACTGAGGAAATTCAGTGAAAACAGATATTTTAAACATGTTGAACAGGCGTTTTATTAAAACAACAGTGAGTATCTAACCTGTAGTAGATGGCTGCTGAGCTTCCCATGAACAAGCAGTAGCAGGTAGCTGTAGCAGTTCCTGCAGAAATATATTTCTGAATAAACTATGAAATTTTACAATTTAGAAGTTTTTTTAATGACAAAACCTATTTAAAAGTGATTACACCGCTACAGCTACCTGCTGCTGCTTTCTTCTTTAGATTGTTCTTTTCATGTACAGTGCCCTGAGACAACGTATGTTGTGACTTGGCGCTATATAAATAAACTTGAACTTTATATTTTTAAATCATTTAACACCATGGAAATAGGTAAGGAATAGAAATAATTAATGTGAAGCTGTTTTAAAGGGATCCCTGATTAGTTTTAACATTAGACTTTATTTGATAAACATATATTTTAACTTTAAAATAGGCTTAGACTAAAAATACTGTAGGCTGTTTAGTTTTGTAAAGTTTTAAAAATAATATTTGAATACGGACGGAGCCATTTTATTTACACACAAAGCATTCTGGGTAAATGATGACGTGGATAGGTCCTCAGTGTGAGCGAGCTATATCCACC